CGGCCTGGCCGCCATCCCCTACGAGCCCCGGCGCTTCTTCTACTCGCCGCCCGGGCCCGAGGCCGCCGCCTCCCCGCTGGCCCCCAGCCCCGCGCCCCCCGGGCTCGCCGGGGCCTCGCACCCCGAGGAGCTGTGCGAGCTGGAGATCCGGATTAAGGAGCTGGAGCTGCTCACCATCACGGGGGACGGCTTCGACTCCCAGCGCTGTGCGTGAGCTGCCGCCCCGCCGCCTGCCCGGCACCCACCCTGCCGGCCATGGCCCTGGTCTCAGCGGCTGCCCTGGGAATCCGGGTCCACCGTGCGTGCCCAGGCCCGGCTCCCCGCAGCCTGGCTTCCACCGACCCCCCAGCACAGACCTGAGCTTTCTGAGCTCCTTGTTCCCCCAGTCCCGTCCAATCTGAGCCACCCCCACCCTGAACGTACTCTTCCTGCGTGGGGGCCCGCACCCCTGCACCTCGGCCACACTCACGTGGACGCCCCATCTCTAGAGGCCTCAGCTGTCCTGTTCCATCTTCCCCTGGGTCCGTCTGGGGGAGGGGAAGGAGGTGTCGTGCTGGCGTGTCTGTGGGGGTGGCGGGAGACTTGGGACCACCGAGGCCCAAGACTTTGGCACCGGCCACTCCACACTGGCCGGCAGTCTTCCTGACCCTGCGGCCCTGGCGCTGCCAGCCCTTTACCAGGGCCCTGGCCTGTGCTGTCCGACCTGTGCCCAGCAAACCAGGGGTCTGGGCCGGGGACCTTGTCTTCCCGCTTAGCTGTGCTGGCTGAGGATGGCTCTTGATTCCGAAGGAGCGCAGCGGGCCTGGGAAGGCCACCGTCCTGTGGGACAGGCTCCCCTGGCCCTGCCGCAGGGGAAGGTGCACGATCTACCCTACGTGTCCAGGTCCAGGTGACCGCGGGACCGTCCCGACCATCAACCCCGTCTAATGTAGGCTGGCCCGGGGCACAGGAGAGCCACGTCGAGGACACGCCGTGCTTGTCCCGGCTCCGTCATGCGGCGCGGTTCGGTGCAGTTCACGTGTAGGTGTCCGTGCCATGCCGTCCCGCCTGTGATCACAGATGGGTTTCAGGTCCTGCAGGGGCACGCTGCTGCCCGGGAGCAGACGGAACGTGTTGGGACGGCCCCGTCGCTCAGATGACAGCCGGCTTGTTTTCTTTCCTGCAGATAAATTCCTGAACGCCTTAAAAGATGCCAAGTTACAAGGACTGAAGACCAGGCAGCCTGGCAAGAAGTTGGCCTCGCTCTCCTGAGGCCGGGCCTCGCCGCGTCAGGGTTTAGATGCTGTGCCCCGTGCTGTCCTTCCAAAGACCCTGCTTTCTGTTCTGAATCTCCTGCTGTCCTTGCTCCCTCACTGCTGCCTGTGCAGCGCCCTGGTGGACACCTGGGTCTCCTCTGCTGCTACCGGGAGCTTCTCATGGTCTAGAAGCTTCTAGCCAGAGCCCTCCTGGGCATTTGGGATTGAGGTAGGGCTAGATGAGCCCCAGGACAAAGGGGTAAGGCCAGGTGGTGTCAGCGGGGCCATGCTAACCGGGAGAGAGGGGCGGGTGAGGACAGCCCAGGGGCAGGGAGAGCGGGCGCGATTTCTGCAGGGTTGCTTGAGCAGGCATTCAGTTAAGGTGTACAGGTCGGTGGTCCGAGCCTCTGCCCCTGCCTGGGGTCCTGCTCTAAGAGGTGAAGCCTCTTAGAGCATCCAGGAGGCCTAGGCTGGCCTGTCCCATATGTGCGGCGGGGCACAGGGAACCCCGAAAAACCAAAATGACCCTTCGGCCTGGAGGGGTCAGAGAGCGGGAGGCTGCCAGCCCTGGAGCAGAGAGGGACCCAGCTGGCGATATGACCCTCAGGGCCAGAGCCAGCCTGCCATCACAGGAGAGGTCGGAGCCAGGAGGAGGGTGAGGGCAGGCCCCTCGGTAGAGGGAGGCGTGAGAGTGTGTGGTCTGGGCGTGGCTGGGCGGGACAGGAATGGCGGTGTCATGGTGTCACAGCAAGGGCCCACAGTCACCCCACAGCGGGCCCTGGCTATGGCCTGTCAGTGCTCAGTGGGCAGGTCCAGAATGAAACGGAATAGAATGTTCCCCAGGGAACACATGCCCGGCAGGGGAAGTGGCTGAGTTCCTGACCCACAAACACCCCAGGCGAGGAGGAGCGGATCAAAGCCCGGCCACGTGCGCCTTGAGCCCAGTGGCATGACTCCGGGAGTTCGTGGGTCGGTGATGAAACGCAGCCATTTTCAACTCTACCGACCTCTAGTTCCACCATGTCTGAAACTAACACAGCATTCAGGATTCGTCACATTTTTCTTGTGGAGAGATGTTTGCTGTAGAGCACGTTCGCTCACCAGAATGACAGAGACAGAGAGACAAGAGAGATCACTCCCCGGGGGGAAGGCCATGCATACATCCCTTCTCCTCCATCCTCCTCTTGGGATCTTGGGCACGCACACACACGTGCCGGCTTGAGTTTAAGCCACCGGGTCTGGGACTCGAACCGTAGTCACCTACATACAGGGGAAGCCCAGCGATGTAGCCATTGTGCTAACTGCTGGTTTCAGGAGTCATCGCTTTCTAATCATTTCGCTGTGTTTGCTATTACCTGCTCTTGAAGTTACTGCCATCGATTGTGCCTGTATTTGGAAATAGGATATAAGGGTGGCCACAGCGAGAGTATTTACACCGTGCGCAAGGGCAGATGCGCACATCGGGGTCTTTGCCCCGCTCACCACCACGAGCTGCTCAATGGCATGGCCATACCCCGGGAATGAGTTCCCATTGCTCTTTCTCTCTGTCTCCTGAGCACACACGGCTTATGGCTAAAATCTCAAATACGAAAGACAAGGCGATGTCCTGGCGTGGCCCCCACTCCGTCTCTGCCCAGCTAGGGGAGGTGGTGGAGCCTGGGACTGCAGCCCGAGACCAGCTCCCAGTGGGGTGTGGCTGATCCCAAAGGAGGGGTCCTAGTGGACGGACCCCACACATCCCCTTGCTTGGCTCCCGACTAGCACCAGGGCCTGGAGTCCCCCGGCAGCTCCCGCCCAGCTCCCCGCATGGCTTTCGGGTCAGTGTCCTCCCAACCTCGCTCTTGGGTAACTCCCCAGAGTGACCGCTGGTTCCCACTGAGTGCCACCGTTCTTCCCTGAGAGGACGGGCAGGGCCTTGCTGCCAGGTCCTCCTTCCTGAATTGAGTCACACAGTGGTGTCCCCAAGTAGAAGCTGCCGAGAGGATTAAGGAAGCGAGGTTGAGGCACCCAGACAGTGCCCGGCCCCGCAGACCCTCAGGGCGGGTCAGCTCTTCCCTCCTGGCACAAACTCACCAGGGGTGACTGCCTCCTCTCTCCCTCTCTGTGTCTCCCCAGTGAGCCCAGATGCCGTCCAGTAACACTATAGCAAGAAAACACCCCCGCCCTGGACAGGCAGCTCTAGAGCTGGCAAGCAACGTGCTTCCCTTTCCTCCAGCTTCTGGGAACGGCTTCCCTACAGCCCACGCTGTCCTTTCCCAGGCGTCCTGTCACCTTGCCTACGCCCGCCTGAACCCTCGGCGACCACCTCTGTACCTCCACTCTCCGCCTGCCTTCTGCCCTGTAAACCCTCAAGCCTGAAGCGTGGCCGACCCGGGACGCACGTTGTCCTGGCTCCTCGGGCCTGTGCCGTGGGGCCGCAGTCACACGGCCGGATAAAGTCCTTCGGTTTTACTCAACTGCGTGCCCTGTATTTTAGGGTCACGACGGCACGAATCTGGGGAGGACACCGTGCGGTCTAGAGCGGTGCCGCCGGCCACCCCTGGCGGCCTAGCCCCGCCGCCGATCTCACCACTGGCCGCTGTCCTGACACGTGCATGCTTGCCATGTGGCCTGGGCCCCACCCGCCATAAGGCAGGAGTGTCCTGACTGCGCTGTCTAAAGTGGCACCCGTGGCCCCGTCGTGGCTACTGAGAGTTGACATGGAGTGGAACGGCCGAGGGACTGCATTTCAAACTTTATTTCATTTTAATTCTTTCTCTTTTTTAGTGTTTCTTGCTATCGGGCACATGCACCCATCTGCTCGTCCCTCCATTTTCATTCTTTAACGGTTTATTATATTTTATTATTTTTAGGTTGTTGCACTAGGGCTCTCTCACTAGAGAGAGGAGAGAAGAAGAAAGTGAGAAATCACCCCAAGGGATGGCCACACTGCAATCCCTTGTCCTCTAGTCTCCTCTCAGGATTTTGGGCATGCACACACACTCCTGGTGATAGCCTCTGGGTATGGGACTCAAACTGCCATCAGCCACGTGGGAGTCCAGCTCTCTAGCCACCGTGCCACCTGCTGGCCCTGTCTTTAAACTTTTGAAGTTTTATCTTCCCCTGAGAGGGCCAGGAGAGACCTTAAGAGGTCTCCCTGCTACAGACCCCCTGGGGCAAGCAGAATCCTGACACGTGTGTGCTTAGCCTGTACAGGGAGGGCTGGGTGTGAACCAGGACCTTCCCTTGGGAAGATGCATGGCTGCTGTGGCATCAGTGGGCTCCTAATTCTTTAAGTTCCAGCTTGAATGGCCCCATGGGATAGTGGCTGCCTGGACAGGGAAGGTGGGTGCCCCAGACTCTGTGCCCGCGGGGTGCCGTTGCAGGGCGTGTGGAACGAGCACTTTCTACACAGTGTGTGGGAAGGGAGCCCCCTGCCCGAGGCTCCTGGGGCTGCTCCGTCCTCTGAGAAACCTCCAGGAATCCAGGCTCCCTTCTCCCTTCTCCAGTGATCCAAGAAGAGACAGGACAATCAGGACAGGCCACTTATGGAATGAGTGACAGGCGTCTGTGCGTGTGAGTGTGCAAGCCAGTGCCTGACCCGCCATGTGGGAACGAGGGAGGTGTGCAAATCTGAACTGCCCCCCCCAGCAGTTCAATCAGGTGCTCTAGGGCTGATGTCCCTGTGCCACCTTCTAGAACAAGGCAGAGATGCAGTCATTGGCGGGGCCAGTTGGAGCTCCGGACACAAGCCTCGGGGTCTGAGCACAGGCCAGTCAGGGGCTCATAGACATTCCCGGGGCTCTTCCCGGCCCTCACCACCACCCAAACCCACCTCGACCCCAACTCCCCGCCGCCAGTCTCTGAGACCCAGCCCAGCCTTGACAGATGGCTTCTCACCGCCTTCACAGCCCTGGCCAGAGAGATGCCCTCGGCCCCATCTTACAGAGGCATGACCAAGCGCTTGAAGTCATGGCTGTGGGGAGCTGGAGGATGGTCTTGCTAAAGCCCCTTGCAGCTCAGAGCCTGGGATTCTGTCGTTCAAATCCTGTTGGTCACGTGGCCGCAGTCCGAGAGCATTGAGCGCTGGCCATGTTTTCCTTCCAGGATGGAGAGAGAGACAGGAAGTAGGCGAGCAGGTGGCAGGGCTGGGAAGCTCCTGGAAGACAGAAGCCTTATTTCACATGCAAGTGCGACCAGTAAAAAGCGCCAGTGAGCAGGCTGTCAACTAGGCTAACTCGCTAACACAGGTGGATGGCGCCCCGCACAGCTGCACCGGCCTGCGGTGTGGACGGCTCCGTAGAGCTCTGTGTGGCCTAGGAACGCCCAAACCCAGCCATGAAGACGGGCACACAAGGTGCACTCATTGGCACGAGTGGGTGGACGAGAGTGGCCTGTGTGCTGTGGGCTTCTTCATGAAGGACGTCGCTCCGATGCCCTGGGGCTGCACTGAAGGCCCCGTACTCATCCCTATCCTTAGTCTCGGGCTCCCGGGTCTCCCTGGCGGCGAAGCTCTGAAATCCACTGTGTGACGCTCGCTGATTCTAGGCTAGCCGTGGACACTTTGCTCCCCCCGGGGACACGGTGGCCTCACTAATCGGGTGGAGATCTCTGGGACAGAGAGCTGAGGGGTGGAACCGGAGGGCCCAGGCCAGAGCCAGCCTTCTTCACCAAGATATTCCCAGAGGCGGGCTTCGGTTTTCAGGGCTGGCTTTCTGGAACGGGAAGGGCTGTGGCAGTGTGCAGCCTGACAGCCAGGCCGTGATGTCCCTCACTCTGCATCCTGCTCTCCCTCGGGGCCTCCTGCTTGGTGTCCCTGCACTGATGGGTGCTGTGCTCAGAAAGCCTGGCTCACCCAGGAGGGACAGGGGAGAGCCGCGGCCCTGGCAGTGCCTCTGGGACCGCTGCAGTTAGGTGCAAGGTTAACGACCCTGGGACAGAACCACACAGGCAGGCCTGGCCTGGCCGTGTTCCAGGTTCCGCTCACCAGGACCGTCCCGAAGAGGAGGGGTGGGGGCAGATGGTGCAGTGGCTGCTTCGATGCTCTGTGAGGCTGAGCCCTCTGAGGAGGTTCGGGGTTCACATCAGACACCAAGAGCACAGGAGTGTGCGCGTGTGCGTGACCAGGGTGGCCAAGCCAGCGAGGGGGCCGTGGCCTCGGGACTGTTGGGGAGCTGCCTCGCTCTCCCATGGCAGTCGGTTGCTCTGGTGCAGAGGGCTCGTTTGGGACCTGCCATCTTTGGGGACTAACTGTGAAGGGGAAGGAAGGAAAGGCTTCATTCCCGAAGCCCCCGGGTGCAGGAAGCAGCCAGGAGACAGGGTGCCCTCTCTATTCCCAGCCTGGGGACTGCCAGGCTCCTCCCTCACTGCCTGAGGGTGCAAGCACTCACAGAGCGGGACGGAGCACCCCAGTGGGGTGGGGTCACGCCGTCTCCATCTGTCAGAATTCGGGCTCACACGCCCACGTGCCTGGGGTTTCCAATCTGTTGGTGTCAAGCCCACGCAGTGTGGTTCCTATGGGACCCGGTACACTAACCACTAGCCCACTCTCGACGTGCCAAACGCTCGACCCAGAAATGGGTCAGTCTCTTAGTCTTGTGGTTAAGGGAGCCAGATTCCCCAGGCTGACCATGGTTCGGATCCCGCCCTGGGCATGTGTGAGTATGTGCCCACATCACAATGGGATGGAGAAATGGAGGCGTGCAGACTCGGTGTGACCACGCTCCACTGGACACGCTTTTCTCCTTCCTGTCTCTGGCAGGTGCATGTGACCTCAGGCGCTTAAAAAACAAACGAGGGCCAGAGGGTGGCATGGTGGTTAAGGCACTGGAGTCCCACACAGTCGACACTGGCTTGGGTCCTGGACCGGGCAGCTTGCTTTCTCAGTTTTTCCCTCTCTTTCTTTCTCTGTCTCTCTCTGGTGAGCACCTGTGTCTTGTAGCAAATTGAAAAATAATAAATAAGTAAAATTAAATATCTAAAACATCAAAACAACCTTGACCTAGAACATGCACTCCCCAGGAGCACGCCACCAGCTTCTGGTCAAATGAAAATAAATAAATAAATAAAGTTAAATAAAAAGAATTCTTTTAAAAAATACTTTAGGGCCAACAGCTGAGGTAGAGGTTAAGGTGATTGGGTCCCACATGGTCCCTGGCAGTGCCTCTGGGACCGCTGCAGTTAGGTGCAAGGTTAACGACCCTGGGACAGAACCACACAGGCAGGCCTGGCCTGGCCGTGTTCCAGGTTCCGCTCACCAGGACCGTCCCGAAGAGGAGGGGTGGGGGCAGATGGTGCAGTGGCTGCTTCGATGCTCTGTGAGGCTGAGCCCTCTGAGGAGGTTCGGGGTTCACATCAGACACCAAGAGCACAGGAGTGTGCGCGTGTGCGTGACCAGGGTGGCCAAGCCAGCGAGGGGGCCGTGGCCTCGGGACTGTTGGGGAGCTGCCTCGCTCTCCCATGGCAGTCGGTTGCTCTGGTGCAGAGGGCTCGTTTGGGACCTGCCATCTTTGGGGACTAACTGTGAAGGGGAAGGAAGGAAAGGCTTCATTCCCGAAGCCCCCGGGTGCAGGAAGCAGCCAGGAGACAGGGTGCCCTCTCTATTCCCAGCCTGGGGACTGCCAGGCTCCTCCCTCACTGCCTGAGGGTGCAAGCACTCACAGAGCGGGACGGAGCACCCCAGTGGGGTGGGGTCACGCCGTCTCCATCTGTCAGAATTCGGGCTCACACGCCCACGTGCCTGGGGTTTCCAATCTGTTGGTGTCAAGCCCACGCAGTGTGGTTCCTATGGGACCCGGTACACTAACCACTAGCCCACTCTCGACGTGCCAAACGCTCGACCCAGAAATGGGTCAGTCTCTTAGTCTTGTGGTTAAGGGAGCCAGATTCCCCAGGCTGACCATGGTTCGGATCCCGCCCTGGGCATGTGTGAGTATGTGCCCACATCACAATGGGATGGAGAAATGGAGGCGTGCAGACTCGGTGTGACCACGCTCCACTGGACACGCTTTTCTCCTTCCTGTCTCTGGCAGGTGCATGTGACCTCAGGCGCTTAAAAAACAAACGAGGGCCAGAGGGTGGCATGGTGGTTAAGGCACTGGAGTCCCACACAGTCGACACTGGCTTGGGTCCTGGACCGGGCAGCTTGCTTTCTCAGTTTTTCCCTCTCTTTCTTTCTCTGTCTCTCTCTGGTGAGCACCTGTGTCTTGTAGCAAATTGAAAAATAATAAATAAGTAAAATTAAATATCTAAAACATCAAAACAACCTTGACCTAGAACATGCACTCCCCAGGAGCACGCCACCAGCTTCTGGTTCTGTCCCCAGGACTCCCAACTGGTGGGCTAGGCAGGGACAAGGCCGCAGTGCGCCGCCTACTGGCAGGCCCTGGGCCCAAGCCTGGCTGCTTCCAACTGAGTTCCATGGGCATCTGGGCGGTAGCCTGAGTTTTCCTGAGTTTGTGTGTCATGGGAGACAGAGGCTGTCCCAGGCCAGAAGGTCTCCACAGGCCTTAGCCCCCAAGGCGGAGGAGCTGCTTTGGGGCAGGCGCGAGGGGAAGAGGCGCTCT